ATATTCACAACATAACTTGTTTTTAATTGTGTTGCAAAGTCTCTCAGTGACTATATTCTCAAATATTCTAGGACTAAGTTAACATTATGCACCATCAAGCAAATGTCTGAATTAAAACATTGAACATATAGGATACAATAATTATTTTTGATCATATGATGTCTCTACATCACATTGGATCAATACCTTATGGTCCTGTAGATTGGTATCCAACAGGATCATAATATACTGACTCAATGTGTTGTGAAAATAGCCAGTAAAACTATCATAATTCATATACTTAGAAAACTAAATATTTTTAACGTGTTCTATCATTGGGTGTGTTTTTTAGATTATTTAATAGACATAATTCAAAATCCAGTCTATGTTACAATAACAAATAATGTATTTCCTCAATAGTGTTTGCTATAGGCTTCATTCAATGGTAGGCCTAACAAACAATGTTTCAATAGAAATTTCGAAACTATTGTACCCCTAACTTTCTTACGAATATAGCTCAAATCACTTGCATGAATTTCCCCACTAATCGATCGATAACAAATACACTGACTGATTAATCTAATAACTCGAAAACTGACAGATTTTCACTGTCTAACTCACTAACTGATACTAAACCGATCAAGTGTTTAACTCATTAAGTCTGGCCATGTTATATTGTATTAGTTTCCTATGTACTACAAGAAGCTTCGATGTGATACTTATGTAATAATTCAATTTATTTTCCTTGTTCTATATCTTACCGGTAACTTTACAACTTTAGCTGAATTACAGTTAAAGTAACGGTATACTCATTTAACCTAATCAAAGGCTAGTAATACTTATGCAACCATGTGTTAATTTAAAAGTTTGTTTGTGATTATTTTTAGAGCAAAGCTACACAATGAGCTATCGGACCCCGTATTTTAGTGTTGTAAGTCCTTAAACATAGCCCCAACCCATCGGGTAACTTTACATTTTTTTCTACTAATAATATTTACCAAACTCATTTAATTAACTTATCTTTTATTATGAAAATAAAGCAACATTACAACGAATGAGAATATTAATCTGATCCTTAAATACAAATTTCATGGCAAAGAAGTTCATGGCTTAAGATTGATATTGTTGCATGCTGTATTTTCAATATTTCAATTTAGATGTTTGTTTGCTCGAGGAAGCTTGTCTTTATATCATGATGATACAACAACTAGAAGCTTTGTGTAGTAAGTAGAAAACGATTAACAATATGTTACGACAGCGGAAGTCACGCGACTCTGGGAGCATGCGCGCTGGAGTTTCTAGAAGGATCATGAATTATCGAGGAACTCCGCGAATGTCCGAGTGTTAACCAGGCGTCCTCTTTTTAGTATATAAGCCTGGCGAGAAAAACCAGCGCAAGGGCAGAGATAGATAGATAACTGAGTCAAGGGAACAGTAGGCACCATAAGTAAAGTGTGTGAATCGCTGTGATTTATAGCGTGTGTTATAAAAGTTGTTAAGTTTAAAGTGACTGTGGAAATTCTGTGTACTGCAAAGTTGTATCAAGAAAGAATAAACTAGTTTTAATTAAGAAAGGACTTGTATCGCTGAAGTTCCTCGGAAAGAATTTATACCGGAAACAAACAAACAAGCAGATACGTAACAACACTTTAATCTAGACATTTTGTGCTGTTCGCTAGAGGGAATATGAACATGATATAATCATGATGTGTGACTCTTAGAAATTTCCTGAGTTCCAGAATTGACGTGATGTGATGAAAATGAGTTATCTTAAATTTTCTAAAAACAAAACACACAAAAAAAAAAACTTGAGGAAACAGGTAACAATATTTAAGCACCATATGATTGTTGTAGTTAGTTAGCCATTAAGAGTTAATTGGTATATTTTTCCCATTCACAGTGGATAAATTATAATAGTAGTTATGAAATTATTTGCAGCAGAGGCGTGCTAGTTGCTTAAAAAAATTGGGGCTCGTGCCCATAGGCACGGGAATTTACGACGTTTCAGTATGATAGTGATCATAGTTTTCTATTCTGATTTTTAAGACACCAACAGGGGATTCCAGGCACTGTCAAATAGAATAGGGGCACAGACCACTTGTGCCTGCGCCTAGCGACGCCTCTGATTTGCAGTTTGACGACTAACCAATGTATATTTGTGAAGAACTTGTCATTACTGTCAAAACAGTAACAGGCATTTAAAACGGACGCCTAGTATAGTGAACT